ACCTCGTGAAGACAAGGAACAACTAGTCTGAAGAAAAGCAGCCAAAAACAAAGTAGGGAGAAAATGACTAAACCAGGCCGGAAAAAAGCTGATCGCCACCAACAGTTCCTACGTACGCAGTCGCTGCTGCAGCCGCGACGACCACCTGATCTACCGCCCGGATGACGACTGTACGTGAAATCCGATGCTCCAACTGAAAGGGTAGTGCAAATTGAGGAATCGTAGCAACGAAGCGGCGATTTACGATTCTCTTGCACGTCCCCTAGTCCTGAAAACGCGAGCATGTCCTTTAGTCACGGTGGGGCGCGTTCGCCTACACTCCCTTGAGTGGAGCAGTTTTTTAAGGGAGCCGTGGTTTTCTCAAAAGAAGACCGCAGGGAAAAGGAAGAACTCAGTTGTGAGGAACCTAATATCTCTGGATAACTGCTAAAATGCACATATTGTCTGATCTTGAGAAAAGTGCAGCATTGGGGTGTTTGGAATTGGATGCGGGTTTTTTGGTTTGGGAATGGTTTTTTAGGAGGTTTGAACGATGGCGGATTACTTCCAAAGCCACTGCTTCCAAACATCAGAACAGTTTGAAGAAGGTTTCCTCTCACCAAGGACCACTTACAGTCTAGTTCGCTGTGGACGGTTGGGCGTGTCAAGCAGTATGAGTGTGCATAAGCCAGTCTCTGCCTTCTTGTTGAAGCGCGCATGCGACAAAAAGTGGTAGAAAACGAGTAATACGAACGATATGATACAGTCATATCATTTGCTCGCTTTAACAACTGGTGGGGAACGGGTTTCGGCACTGCGCGCATCCCGCCGACACGCGCAACCGTCCCCAGCAAACTACGATATAAAATCTCTTTCAAAGTCCTCGCAGCTCATGAGATAAATGCGATTTATTGGGGAAAAACTTCGAGCTGGACGAAAAACCCGTTCCTTCTGTAGCATTTCAAAAGAGGGCGTATATGAAGTAGAACGGATCCTATCGTCGTCTGTGACGATGATCTCACTCTATCCTCCTGTCTCCACGTCTGGGGCTAGAACCTCTCTCAGCGTGGGCCCTTAAGTACTATCATGAGGCGGACTCATGATATGAATGGTCCGCATTCAGTCTGCCATATTCCATATACTATCCGCTACCTCCAGTACAACGTCCCGAGTAAGACGTCCATTTACTCATAGTTCATGCTATCCGTCACAAACAAGACGTAGGTTCCATATATACATAATAAACATATTATAATAACTATTATTGCCGTTCTCGCTGCTCATCCTTTGGGCCATACACATAAAACCATTGAACCACCACATTTCATTTGTGCATCGTCCAAAAGTTGTTTTATAGTGGAGCGAGTAATAATGAAGAATCCAACGCGATTTTTATCAAAGACACATTCAATTTATTTAACAAAAAACCTTTAAATCCAATGAACTATAGAAGCCCTATTGTCTTTAGCGCTAAGACGCTCAAAAATCTAGTTCTTCGCTACAGCGACTACACAAAAAGTGTAGAATATTTTGAAGTAAATGAGGAAACCTACGAAAAATGTAGGACAACAACTGCTCTTTTGGAAAGCAGCATCAGACTAGTAAAAGAAGGTAGAAAGGAACCTACAAAATTTATATAACGAGATTAGAGAAGAATATAAAAACTGCAACAATAAGTCCGAGAAAAAGGATTTAATCGCAGAAATAGAACAAATAGAGGGGGAATCACAGCTCCACCCAATAATAGAGGAAGCGAATAATCTAATAATTATGCTAACAACAAAACTTGATGAATCAAAGTGTTCACAAGATAGAATAGCCAGGAAACTTGGCTATGGCTCAAATACCGCTATCATCGGTAGAGTAATGTCCCCTAAGTGCCCCAGAATATCGATCTGGTCATAATAATGACTCAGACTGTATTAATATTGGTTTGGATACCGAAGGTGGGTCACAGCCTGGACCGCACGGTGCACCTCACTTCGAGCGAAACAAGGCGTAAGCCACCTCGCTCGATAAGACCCCCGCAAGTCTCACTTCCCAAATTTCATGGGAATGCAGAAGAATTTGCGGAATTCTGGGCCATATTTGAGACCCTAGTTCACAATAGTGATGAGTTAGAGGTCATAGAGAAGATTATCCTCTTAAGGGAATGTCTTGAAGGCAGAGCGCGTCTTGCGATTCAAGGAATCCAACCGCTGCCGCAGAATTATGACTGGATGATACAGACTCTCCAGGAAAAGTACTGCGATTATTCCGCCAATAGGTCCCAAATCGTACAAAAGCTAGTCCTAATGGAGCCAGCCACCGATAAAGCGGACAGTTGTTCTGAGACCTACGAACAAATACAAGTTCTGGTCAATCAGATGATATCCGCAGGGTATGACGTGAGGACTACTTGCGATCCAATGTGGCATGAAACCATCATAGCTAAATTTCCCCGGGATATAGTTAAGCCTGTCCTCATAAGGAGTCAGGCAGAAACGAACCAAACTATTAAGGACCTTTTGGCTCACCTTAAAAAAGAAATCGCTGCAAAAAGCTACGTAGAAAGTAGGCTCGGCAGCATGATAAGTAACAAATCCGACTATATATTTAAGAATAAGGCTAACCTATCAAGCCAGAGGCAGACTACCACTTTTGGCGAATCTTGTATATTTTGCTATAGGAGCAATCACGTATCGACAAAATGTCGAACGGTTAAAGACCCAGTAAGTCGTAGAAACATTCTGAAGGATGAAAACAGATGTTGGAAGTGTTTTCTCTTCAGACCACAACAGTTTTCATTGTCAAAAACAGGACTGTTCTCATTGTGGGCAAAAGCATCACACAAGCATATGCTTTCGAAATAGAAACAGTGATAGCAAGTCAAGAGAATCACTCCTTCACCCACAGCAATCGGAGGGTAGGCCAACAATCTAGTGAGGGCGTCAAACTCCTCTAATGGGCACCAAAGACTTTCTCTTCAACGGGAAGGACGCAGATATTTCTCCAGCAGCACGCATGCGGAGAGTAAAAGAAAGCCCTTCCAAAGCGGCAGAACAAAACTGCGCGACTTCACAGCTCGTCTTCATGACGGCCGAAGGTGATCTTTGGAATTTCAAGAAGCAAAGCTATGAGAAAGTGCTATTCTTTTTCGATTCTGGAGCCCAGCATACCGTCATAGAAGAGAAAACAGCGAGCGATTTGGTATCCCAAGGGAGTCAGCCAAGTTTTGCACTATGTCGGGTATGGGTGGCCATGTAGAGACCTTCAAAACCCATGCGATTACCGCGAAAGTATGCTCTGCATTCACTGAAGAGATCGAACTCAAGATCCAAACAAAGCCGACAATTACAAGCGGCTTCCCAAGCGTCAAACTCAGCGAAACAGATGCTAAGTATGTATAGTGTAGTTCGCTGCGGACGGTTGGGCGTGTCAGTGCGGCTGCGTTTGGCGCGGTGCCAAACTCGTTCTCCACCAGTTGTTGAAGCGGGCAAGTGACAATACTGTATCATATCGTTCGTATTACTCGTTTTCTACCACTTTTTGTCGCATGCGCTCTTCAACAAGAAGGCAGAGAACGGCTTGATAGGGTGACACACTCATACTGGCTGACACGCCCAACCGTCCGCAGAGAACTAGAGTGTAAAAGAAACAATATTCGTTTGGCAAACTCGAACTTGCAAGGGGAGCACCAAATTCCCCACATCCTAGTAGGGTTAGACTACTACCATGACCTGGTCACTAAGTTCAGGTCACATGGAAAGAGCTCCCTCAGGTCTCCATGTTGCGAAGACCATATTCGGACCCACCTTATATGGGAAAGGGTTACTTGAAGTACGAAATGCTGGGTCCAACACTTGCTATGGAATGACCGCAATTTCTGAATAGATAATACTTCCCAATGCAAACATCCCTAATTACACAGCCGAAATTCAGTTGAATCCGAAAGCAATACATTAGGACAGGTGAGCCAATGCTTAGCTGCAACAATAGCCCCTCACAGAAAAGAAATAACGAAAGAAGAGTCCAACAAAAAAGACACATCCGAAAAAGGGAAATACACCCGGCAAGAAATGAGGCAAGAATCAGGGCCAGGTCGCCAGAACAGAAAGTGCACTAATGTGTCACCTTTCGAAAAAGTGAGAACACGTTTCCCGGTAGCTCAGTAACGCAGCCAGGTGGTTTCATAAGGCTGCAGAGGAATAACAGCCGATCCGACGAAAAGAAAGAAAAGATCTGACGAAAGTGCCAAAGTTTTACAAGGTGAAAATGGGGCACTACAAGGAAACGTATGAAGAGCGGGCTTGTAAACAAGTTTAGAAGAGCGATAACGAATATCGAAGAGCATCATTGAATTTTTATTCTATTCTGACAGTCATTTATAATTGTGATTTTACCCTGTTATTTTCACCACCGACGTCGCAATCCGCTTCCCGTACCTGCAGCCGTCCAGCCACTGCCGTCGCCGACTAGCCACCTCCAGCCATCGCCTCTATCAATCGACTGTCCCGCTCCAAGTACAAGACGCCTAATGTCTTCTATGTTAAATCTCACAAAATTGTAAATTCTGTTGCCCGGCGGAGTATCGTCGTCTGTGACGACGATCTCACTCTCTACCTCCTCTCTCCACGTCTGGGGCTAGAACCTCTCTCAGGCGGACTCATTATATGAATGGTCCGCACTCAGTCTGCCATATTCCATATACTATCCGCTACCTCCAGTTCAACGTCCCGAGTAAGACGTCCATTTACTCATAGTTCATGCTATCCGTCATAAAGCAAGACGTAGGTTCCATATATACACAATAAACATATTATAATAACTATTATTGCCGTTCTCGCTGCTCATCCTTTGGGCCATACACATAAAACCGTTGAACCACCACATTTCTTTTGATCCCTTCATGGAACAGCATGTGCATTTTGCCTAGATGCACGTTCGCATTAACCTCAGAGCGTGCGCGCCGCGCCGCGTCGCAGCAAGAAGACCAGTTTGTCCATTCGCACTGCGGCCGCATTCGTACCAGTTGTCCTCACATGCTCTTCCCACCAACAGTTAGCAATTTTGTGCCAGTGCCGGTTGTTTTTGCTCCATCTCAGCAACGTGGTCATCAGATTGCTGTTTATATCTTCCCGCACGATCATTCGCTCTGCTATGAGTTCTTCTTTCATTGTCGAACTATCGCCGAAACCCAAACGTATTTGTGTTGTGGATGTAAATCTCTACGTACCAAAGATAGCAAACGTTATCGTCAACCAGTCGCATCATGCAAATTGCGAGATGGATTCTTCATAACGGACCCATTGAATCCGATTCGGCCACATTTCTGTACCCCAAGAAGCACACCAGAAGCCACTGCACGTCGTCTTGTGATCGAACGATGCAACGAATTGCGATCAGGAGTATGTGATAAGCCGACAAAAAATGTTGTCGAGGAGATTCTGTCAGATATCACTTCGCCTAAGTTCGGTAAGCTACAGTCATTTAATTTTTTATGAATTTGATGCAAAATTCGAAACTGGATCGTCCATATCCAAGTCTAGATTGAAAGTCGGAAGTGGCGTGCTATTGCGTTGGGGCATTTTTATTTCGTGGCAACGTAAGGCCGCGTTCATGTCTTGCGACTATGAAGAAATGCAGGAATGCAGAATCTGCAGAAATGACGAAAAGTATCAGATACGTATCGATTTTCCGCATTTCGGCATTTCTGCAGATTCCGCATTTCTGCATTTCTTCAAATCGATATGTATTTAATGCTTTTCGTCATTTCTGCAGATTCCGCATTTCTTCATTTCCGCATTTCTGCATTTCTTCATGGTCGCAAGCTTTGACCGCGACCTAACGGACCACTTTGTAAAATGCTGTAGTTCCTCGTGAAAATACGTAATGTTTCTGTTTGATGATCCCTACTGTGCCAACGAGGTTGTCAGTGGCACAATTTATTGATCCGGAGGTTTGGACTAGATGATCGTCTTCAGAGGTCTAAAAAAGGCTCCAGTTTTAGTAGTTGTTCTCTTTCCGACACCCCTTCCCCTCAATTCCCTAGCATTTCCGACGGAATACCAGGAGAGCATTGTGCTGTCTATATAGCAATATAGTTCATATTTGCACGTCTCACGCTACAGGAGCTGGCAATATTGGAATAATACAATATGTCTCAATAACTGTCAAACACTCCCCCCCCCCCACAGAGTATCGTCGTCCCACCTTTGCGCTGGTGAACTAGATGAGTCCGTTTCTTCCACACGGCATTTTCAGCTGCTCTCATGCCTCATGGTAATCGAAAACGCTGGCGATGAGAGGCGTTTGACGGCGTAGGGAGAACAACCAGTGAGCTTTGAGCCATGTTTAGGCCTTTTAGAAAGACGATCTAGTCGGAACGTCTGGCCATGGACAAACAGTACCTCCTGACAATCTCGCCTGCACAATAAAAAAGAAGATTAGCAACGTAGAACTCCTTCAGAATTGAAATTTTTTTCCTGTTCGTGAACTCTTCGAAGAATTCCTGTTCGTGAATTTTTCTGACAATTGTTGCCCCTTCTCAGAAAAAGCGCATAGGGAGAAGTAAGTGACTGAAAAATTGTTTTGTTAGACGGTTTCTTGTGTAATCGACATTATTGTTCTTTTGCTTACGCTGATAAAATTCAGTTTTCATTCAACTTGAAAGCTGTTCATGGAAGGGAAGAGCATTCATTGGTCGCAATATACCTGAAGTTCCTACCAGTGACGCTTTGCTTTACTCTTTTGCTGCTGTCCTCTCTGTCTGCTTTCTTGGTCTTGCGACAGAACCATGCGTAAAAGTTCAGAATGTCACGTCACCCTGCACCCCCCCCCTCCCTCCACCCTTCCCCGTCGATGAACTGCCGCCATAGATTCCTTGCAGGTGTCAGAGTGAGTGATCTACTCAATAAAATACCTTTTTACCTAGTGTGCAAGAACAGTGACTTCAAACGAACCTGCCCAATGGTACTTTAATGGTTAGTTCTTTCAAATAAAGAACATTGCAGATGCGTTCCCATTGGGGGAAAGGCGGATGATGGTAGAGCAGATCGCCTCCCCATATGGAAATACTAGGGAGAATCTTCGTCGCACTCTGCAGCGAAATCAACAAAGAGGACAGAATCCGGTACCACCGTGCCATCGGATAACGGTATTTAATGAACAGATTTGGTTTCGTTTCTGAAGAGGTGATGTAATGGAAGATGACCCGCTTGGGCTGCGTTCATACTTTGCGTCTTCGTTTTGTGCGTACGACTGTTTTGAGAGACTAGGACAAAATAGATATCGATCTAGCGTTTTCAGCGACTATCCACGAAAATCTCAAACAAACTGCCCGCGAAAACGCTCGAAACGATACCTATACTTTCCTAGCGCTCAAAACGCTGCCTTACGCTGATAACGCCATTGCGAAGTATGAACGCAACCTTACCACACGTGTGGTCCTGGGGTCAAGTCGGGGATCGGCTCTCAGTTGCTATTCAAGCCTTCCGCTATCCTTGGTCGGTTAATGGCTTCGCTCTCTGGATTCGTATGGGAGGATAGGAGTATTGGCTTATACATCGATTAGCCCCTGCGGGTCATTATATAGGCCCCTGAGATTCTGGATGGAAATAGATTGCCTAATCACTAAGAATTCATCCTTTCTTCCGATTCTAGGGTAAAACGAGAAGGAGTCGTGTCTGTAAGCAAGTCCCATCAGCGGAGGACACTAACAATTCGAAATTTAAGCTTCCTGTTCTCGCCGTGCCTAGGAAAAAGTTAGCTTTTCTTCACTAAGTTTTTGCTTCGGAAAAGTTTTCGCCTATTGGAGCTGATGAAATTTTTAAGCCTCGTGTTAACTGAGCCTGTTCGGACACTGGTCTTCATGGATGTGGCTAGCACACATGTTTTCCCCGGCTATAGCGAGGCTCAACAACGAGTCACTCCACAACTGCTTTACGAACCTGTGAAATGCACAAATGCTCTGAGGAGGCTAACAATGCAAAGTAGGTACCTACTATTCTCTATGAATGTGTTCAGACTTCGCGATGGCGCACTCCAGTCGCGCAATCGCGAAGTCTGAACGCTCCACCGTAAGCGGTGCGCCGCCGCAACGGCAGAATTTAAGTTGGCCCGCGTTCACACAGTGCCATTTGAATTGTGTCCTTGCGGCGCTGCGCCATCTAGCGGTAGAGCGCCCCTATCGCTGCCGCGCAATCCAGTTCAGGGATCCGATCGCGATCGCGAAGTCTGGAAGTGATCGTTTAGATCGGTCCCCCCCCCCCCCCACATAAGGTGGATTGTCTTGAGGATGTGTATTAAAATTATGTGCATATGTTTATAGAGCAAATCCTTGAAAGAGTATTCAATAGGAGTTTTGCTTTCCCCTAAGAATTGACTGTTTCACCTGCAGTTGTACAAGTTCGTTACAGTTGAGCCATGCGAATACCCACGTATCACTGAAATGTCGTTTGTGAGTCTTCCGCGCGACGTTTTCGTGCGGGGACAGAAGACCATCCAGAGTCTCATTCAAGAGGTAATGGCTTTCATCAATTGTGTTTCTGATCGAAATAACTTTGGAGACTCAGTGTCGTTCAAATGATGGACTTGTGGCGTTCACGTTTTTGAGGGAAAGGGACTACCTTAAAGCGTCTGTGCGACTCTACCTAACCAAGATTTGAGCTTGCAATCAGAGCGCTGATATAAAGAGTCGCCACGGTTGTAGAGGGTTTCTTCCCAGTCGCGGTTTCGCTCGCATTAGCAGAGTATTTCAAACCTACTGCACTGAACAGTATAGGCACAGAGAGAAGTGGTCGACTTGCAGGACCGCTCGAGTTGCCACGAGTTACCTTTGCAGAGCATAGAATTTCATGCAGCTCTGACTGTCTGAGCCCTATGCCTAATCCTTAGCTAGGGGAGAAATGCGTAGGTGCTTTGGTGTGGTGCACTCCCACGTTGGCACTGTTCGTTTGGTGATCTGATTGTCGTATACCTCGGCTCGCAGGACATCATCGTTTTTCAGACATGCATGGCACATTTGGAGAGGGATATTTAGTGACGCTAGAAGTATGTAACTTTTCAGGCTCCCGAACAGTCATTTGTGTTGCGGCTTTCAGCGAATGTCCGTACTTGTCAGATCAATCCTGCACTGTCCGATAAACAATGGCAACAATGTCAGAATAATAAAGCTAGTGATAGCTCAGGTAAGCAGCCAGGTACTCAGGTTCCTCGTTTGAGTTCTCTTCTAAAATGCTGGACACCGGGATACACAGTATGGTTTTTGGATCCTTTTTATTGCTATGCGGTTTTTCAGCGTGGGATATGAATACTTTGGAAAGGACTTTTTGCTTTCATTAATGCTTGATTTACGTTTTTTCTTAACTGGTGCTCTCTCGTTTTTTTTTACAATTTCTACTCGGAACCATATCGACCCAGGGGGTATGAGTCTGCTGTGGGACTTTAAAAGACAGTTGCCGCGCTCAGACGATTCGCAAATGTCTTTCCTCACACAAGTAGTCTGGTCCTCACAATTGTCATTGTCAATCTTTAAGGGTAGACCTTTTCTGCAGCTTCACAGTCACAGTAAGTAAAGAAGGCGCTATGGCCTTCAGAAATGGCAGTCCCGACGCCTTCTTAGTTGCCCCGCCCAAAAGTCATTACTTTTCGTCATGAGTTTTGTCTTTGTACCGTATTTTTCGTTTCATTTTTTACATTTTTGCCTCCATGAAGCAATTTTTAGGTCAGGGGCGGCAGGATGTCATTTTTTGGTACAAAATGAGCAGGGCGGGAGGTCTAAGACGGCTGCTAGGTCCTTATTTAGAGTGCTCTCCATGGTTTTTGTTGCTTTTCTTCTTCCCTGGGCAGTCATTCAGCGACTTTAGGTTTGTAATTGTACGCCACTATCCATAACATGATTACCATCTACTTACAGTTTCGGAAGAAATTTTTTGAGAGAAATTTGCTCAAGTAGGTTGTAAGGATTCTGACTCATGCACATTTGATGCATACAAACCCAAGTGTTGTCTTTGACCTCCATGTACTTTTGTGGGCAGGAGTTCTGTATCTCTAATAATGTTGAACCCAATCTGCCTGTTATTGACTCCGATACCGGACCTTGAAGAGCTAATGGTGAGCATTTTCATCTCTCACAAGCAGTTAGATAGGCAGATGTTACCAAGTGATTTGGTGGGTGCGCTGCTTGAAGACAGTTCCCGCGCTCGAGTGATCCGCGAAATGCCTTCGTGTAATTGGCATCTAAATCCGCAACACTTTCATCACTCGCAAGGGCGAGGTAAAGCAGTCATAGACGAGTGACTCTTGCGCACTTTGTTCTTTCTGTACAAGGCAGTGAATCAATCACATGTGCGCATTGCGTTGCCTTGTCGTAAGACGATTTCACACACTCGTCGGATAGAATCCCAGCTCGTCAACTCTTGCGAGCCCATTAGTGACTAAGTTATTCTTTTTCTCATGGCTATATATTCGAGAACAGTAAGTCAGTATCAGTCCACAGGGCATTGTTAAGGGTGCCCAAAGGATATTTTTAACCTGTCGGGTACTTGTTCATAACTGAACTCTCAGTACACGTAATAGTTGATCGCGTAAACTGTCTTCAGTCTGATTAGTGAATAAACAAGTTGCTGTCTCAAAGCTTGCAGTGAAAAAAACCAAAAATGAAGCTGAATATTTCTGGTACCTGATGTTTGATGAGCGATTTTGAGTTTAGTTATTCGTCGGCCACGCGATGATCTGGAGTTGAAACAAACTTTTGCTCAAGAATGGCCTTCTATAAGGAAGTTCCTGGACGATTGTGAAAAGCCTGCTTGTTTGAGTATGTTCATCTAGAACTGATTCTAGCCAATATGCACCTTCAACTGATGTTTCAGTCGCTCACAATGGCATGTTTTTCGATTTCCGAACTCTGTATGGGGAACTGCTACGATGCGGTTTCATCGCCAGAGGAATGAGTATACCAAAGGGGGTAGGTGTCCAATGTCCAGGCGTTTTAAAATCCAACAGAAAGTTAAGTTTCACCTAGGTGGTCTTCGTGGACTCCACACTGGCAATCCGCGAAATTGAAAACATTTTTTGCAAAGAGGTGCTCGAAGCAACGAAACTACTGGCAGAAAAAGGTATGTATTGTTGTCTCTGTGTGGTGACAGCAAATTTGCTTATAAGCTGAATTTTGCTTTTTTCAGCCGTGCAAGATGAAGGAGCTCTTACAGTAGCCCACGCGACCACAGAAACCAAAAAAGAAGTAAAAGTACGATTAATAGGCTCTCATAACGGTTGGTATTTGGAAACGTTTTGTTGTCGTAGATAGTACGGTTGACGACACCATTCGGGATTGTCTAATGCTTGCAAGGCAACCGACATCATTGAAGCGCCACTTTTCCTGGCTTCTAGAAAGCGGTTAAAGGCAAACTAAACAGTCACTTCTGTGAATCCTGGGCCTTCCCATGTGCGAGGTGATCGGGTCCGTAGCGGAGTAGCGTGCCACTTTCTACATGCAAAAAAAAAACACTGGAACAGCACCCAAAAGTTTCCATATCCTCTTGCCCTCTTCCATCTTCACAGCAGCACGGATACGCCTACCGTAGCCAAACGCCCTGCTTGTCGCCCTCTCACTTGGAGGTTGTCTCTACCTCTGCTGCGTGTTCGCTGCTGTATTTTGGTAGCAACGTCCGGATATCACCGCCCTGTAGCCTCGTTCTCATAAAGTTTCAAGCGGATAAGGTGACAAGCTTCTGCAGCTGTGGATTCATCCACCTCGCACAGGGGAAGGACCATCTTCGGAGGTGGGTGGAAAGTTTGAGGATGTGGGCACCAGTGACTTTCCCTGGCTCGCCAAACTGGCACTCTCGGCGATGGCCTCAACTGAGTGCGCGTCCCGGTTTCTCGGTATCTGTTTATTAGTAATGTGCTTTCGAATTGATATTCGATAATGTGTTGTTTTATCAGAATCGCAGGAGTTAACGGAATCGATAGCAGTTCCTACGCCTTCGCTGTGAGTTTCCAGTATTCACTTCATTTTCTTCAAAAGTGCGTGAAGCTTTTTCCGGTCTTAGTTATAACTAACATGTTTCTATGTTTGATTATTTGCTTTCTGATGGGTCGGCCCATGAGCAGCGGCTTTTTCCCCCTCGAAGATATCGCGCTGAGAAGAAAAGTTCGCCACCAATTTTTATACCGCTTGACAGAGGATTTCTTGCTGCACCACAGTGTTCTTAATTTCCTTCGACTTTCTCTTTCCGCTGATATTTAAGTGCTCAAACTGGAGTGTCAGGACCGACAAAATTGAGCATTTTCGACAGCCTGTCTTTTATACTTTTATACCTTGAATTAAAAAAAAACTAAAATCAGAGAATCAAAATCAAATAAAAGAATTACCTTATTGACTGACAAGGGAAGGATGGTAGGTCGAAGTGGCCATTTGAAATGAAATGTATACCGGCTGAAAGGTCTTCGGACGGGAATTACGAAACCGTCTTCCATATCTGCTGCGGACCTCCCAGAAAGAAGTTACGGAGCTTTTTTGGGGGGAATCACTACAAATTGGCGGCGTAAGGCTATCGAGATCGTGGCAGCATGGCCGAGTGGATACGTCGTAGGGCTCACGGATGCGTGGTCGAGGGTTTGGATCCTTGATGCGTGTGCTCTTTTGCATTTTTTCGAAAGTGGTCCCTGTGCACTTCAAAGCTATTTTGCATAACACTTGTCCATGATAATGTCGTGATGTAATGATTCTGAACTGATGGAGCCATTGCGAACCATTCAATAGAAATCACTTCTGGCTGTTGTCTTCTTCTTTCTTTGATTTGAAGAGCATATACAACAAAAGTGCACTCCAAAGAAAGATTTTGCCTTCAAATGAATTTATTCTCCAAACGACATGACCGGAAAACGAATCCGAAGTTGTGCAGGAAGATGATTATAGTGGGGAAAATGCTTCCATATGAAGTGGCGTTGATGTGGCAATCATGCTGGAGATCGCGATGGGCAAGAGCTTCATTCACCACTCACATAATGTTGAATTATGTCTATCTCAAAGTGTTTTCGTATCTGCTGGAAGTTTTCGGCTCGTATGACAATCTTTTCAGCCGGAGGTGATCTCCATGAAATCGTTCGCAATGGCTCCATCAGTTCAGAATCATTACATCACGACATTATCAGGGACAAGTGTTATGCAAAATAGCTTTGAAGTGCACAGGGACCACTTTCGAAAAAATGCAAAAGAGCACACGCATCAAGGATCCAAACCCTCGACCACGCATCCGTGAGCCCTACGACGTATCCACTCGGCCATGCTGCCACGATCTCGTCAGCCTTACGCCGCCAATTTGTAGTGATTCTCCCCCAAAAAAGCTCCGTAACTTCTTTCTGGGAGGTCCGCAGCAGATATGGAAGACGGTTTCGTAATTCCCGTCCGAAGACCTTTCAGCCGGTATACATTTCATTTCAAATGGCCACTTCGACCTACCATCCTTCCCTTGTGAGTATCATGCCAAAGACTGAGGGATCGATAAATGTCATAGAATGCTTCCTTATCGTTGTAAACCACCAACCTCAGTTGATGTTAGACGTTCAAAAATAAGTGGGTCCAGCTGCTAAAAATATAGCTGCAAGTCTCCGTCTCCTAGGAATACTAATAATACTTTAAGTGATTCGAAGATTTCAGTTTCGACCTCACAGACAAGCATCGAACCTAATGCCCTATTCTGTCCAACTGAGAGCTTACGGAATTACCTTATTAACTGAGAATCATGCCAAAGATTGAGGGATCGTTAGAGGTCATAGAATGCTTCCTTATCATTATCAACCACCACCCTCAGTTGATGTTAGACGTTCGAAAATAAGTGGGTAGGTTCTGCATTCACCCTCACACCCAAGAGGGCCCCCACGCGGCACCTGCTTACTAGGTCCCTAATCCCACACTTGATAGCTCGAACCAACTTCAAGCTGTCATGAGACGATCTTCCTTCGAGCATTTGAACACAAGGTTTGAGCTTGTTCTGTCGATTGAGAGAGACAAAATTCAAAAATAGTTGTAGAAAACTTATTTTTGGGTGGACCGGATTTCCCTTTCAATGAAATAAAAATCGACACAAGTCCAGAAATAGTAAGAAGGTAATTATACTATCTTATAGTGCGGAAAATTATCTATCAAACAGTGTAGAACATATTGGGAACAATTGTCATTTTCCTTATAAAAATTTGCGTGACAAACGCCATTACTTATGTGCCAGCCTAATAGTTACTGTATATGAGTACAGTGTGACACATCAGGTTACGGAGGAAAAGTGAAAATATAGCTGCTCACAAATAGGCACGTGTAGTTATGCCTATGCCAGAGAGTAGCAGGGAAAACATTCGTGGCACTTTTGAACTTGGATGAGATTTATG